TGTTTGCTTTATCCCTGCTTGATTAACTCGCCCAATCTGGATTTCGTCAACACCACCTGCGACGTCAACTGAGCCTGCATTGCGCCTGCCGACAACCCTGGGCTCCTGCGCTGAACCCAGTCATCCCAATCTACTATAGTGAAGCCCGACACGACGCACGACCACATCATCGCCGCGATCCAAGAGAACGTCTAGGCTGCCCTCTCATCACCGATTCGGAACAAGTTCCGTTGTGCTTCTTCCCACCTACCTACCCCCGTCTGTCGTTTGCTGGCCAAGACAGAGTCCACTCTCTACATATCCCCATCCCCACCTGGTATACCCTCTCCCCTCAGACTCTCCCTCGCCACCTTCCTCTCCACCACGACAATGTCTCTCACCCAAGTCATAAGTGGCCTCTCGAAGCGTGCAGGTCATGGTGAGGAAGACCCAACTGCTGGCCTGGAGAATGTCGACGTTCAGCACTACCTCGGATACATCTGGTGGATCATTGTTGTCGTCTTCTTCGTGTACCAGGTCATCCTCTACTTCGTCCGTTACATCCGCACCGTAACATGCCTGAACAACGAGACGCAAAGATACTTTGCTATTCCCAACCGGACCTACGCAGCTTTCAAGAAGCACTGCCTCGATGCGCCCCTGTTCCGCACCCGTCACCACCGCGAGTTCAAGCTCTCCTCCGCCATTGGTGTTGGAACCCTGCCTAGCCGTCTGCAGAGTTTCTTCCTCGTTGGCTACTTTGCGGTCAACATTGGCTTCTGTGTCTGGAAGATCGACTACAGCACCTTCTCCTCGGGTGCCGGCGAACTTCTCAGCCGCTCGGGTATCATGGCTGTCATCAACATGATTCCATTGTTCCTACTTGCTGGTCGCAACAACCCTATCATCAAGCTCACCGGTATCTCCTTCGACACCATGAACCTCATCCACCGCTGGTTTGGACGAATTGTTATCCTCGAGGCCATCGCCCACACTGTATGCTGGATCGCCAACAAGGTTCACACAAGTAAGTTTGGTCGTGTCCGGTGTCACAGGAACGAAGTGCTAACAAACCCACAGAGGGCTGGGGTGCTGTGCAAGCATCCATCACTGGAAGCGAGTTCATCATGACGGGTTTCATTGGAACCGTCGCATTCGTATTCCTACTGATTCAGTCTCCATCGCCAGTGCGTCACTCCTTCTATGAGGTTTTCTTGCACGGTCATATCGTTGGTGCTGCCATCGCACTTGGAGCTGTATGGGTGCACCTAAAGGAGCGACCACAACAATTCATGCTCTACGGCGTACTTGCTCTCTGGGTCATGGAGCGCACATGGCGTTTTGTCCGCCTAGTCATGCGCAACGTCGGAAATGGCGGTACCGGTTGCGATGTTGAAGTTCTTCCCGGAGACGCCCTCCGCGTGACAGTCCGCATGGCTCGCCCGTGGAGGTTCCGCCCTGGCCAGCACGCATATCTGTACATTCCTTCCGTTGGACTCTGGACCAACCATCCGTTCTCTGTCGCTTGGAGCGAGGAGGAGGAAGACCTTACCATTGCTTCCTCCGTCGCCGATGAGAAGGGTCTTCCCATGAACCGCCAAGACATCCTTGAGCATCACAAGACCAGCATGTCTTTCATCATCCGACGACGAACCGGTTTCACCGACAAGCTGTTCAAGAAGGCAGACCTATCCGCTTCCGGCAGATTTTCCACTTCGGCATATGTCGAGGGCCCATACGGTAAGTACCGAAGCTTGTTTTCCCCAGATTCTGCAATATCGCGGATATTAATTCAATTTAAACCCATGCTAACGTCACACTACAGGCGGTGAGGATCTCAGCTCTTATGGTACTGTCATGCTATGGGCTGCTGGTATCGGTATCACTCACCAGGTTCCCCACGTCCGTGATATTGTTGCTGGCTACGCAAACGGAACTGTCGCCACTCGTCGTCTCACCCTTGTTTGGATCATCCAATCGCCTGAACATCTTGAATGGATCCGTACATGGATGACACAGATCTTGTCCATGCCACGCCGTCGTGAGATTCTCAAAATCCTGCTGTTCGTTACTCGTCCTCGCAGCACCAAGGAGATTCACTCGCCATCCTCCAGCGTTCAAATGTTCCCTGGTCGCCCCAATGTCCAAGCCCTGGTCGACCAGGAGATGCAAGAAGGTATTGGTGCTGCTTGTGTCAGCACTTGCGGTACCGGTGGGTTGGCGGATGAGCTTCGCCGCTCTGTCCGCAACCGCGAGTCTCAGTGGAACGTCGACTTCCGCGAGGAGTCTTTCTCGTGGTAAACGTATCCCTGCTCTGTTTCATCTTTGGTCTCGTCATATCGGTATACCCTCTCGTCCATTGATCTCTAGCCTTGCAATCTATCATGTTTGGAAGGGACCACCGTTGGATCTAATGAGGACATGCTTGCATCTACTTCGCTGTACACATTACATTTCGTTTCTCTACCGCGTCATCTCTTGATCTGGTCTCTTTTTACACTCCTTGTATCTTATCCTGTGGAACAGGCACGAAGACAAAACATTCATGTGGTCGAGCGTGCCTAGCCAAGAATGGCTTATGGCTAACTATCAATGTTATTACGTTACCACAACGGTCCTTCCACGAGCATGGCGATGCTTCTCTGGCGTTCAAGAGTCCTACTTCGTTTGAGTGTGTACATATCGGCGTCTGCTACTACAGAATTCACGATTGATTCAAATAGTACTTAATCCTCTATCAATATTCCTAGCATGCGTCCTATTAAGCTGCGACCGGTATGCTACTTCTTCGAACCAAACTAGCGGTATGGCTAGCGCGATGTCGTCTTATGCACGCTGCCGCGATTGAGGAAGCTGCTCCAGAAAGCACACGTATATGAACGGCAACCAGACGGCAAGAATAATGATGCCCTCAACAGATTGGGCGATATTTGCCCGTGGAAACCTGATAACCCCAGAGCTGACTGACACTACTGTAAGAGTTTAGGACGCGCGGCCGCCGAACCGGCGAATTTAGACATTACAGACACTTTTTTCAAAGTTTCTGATAACGCCATCACTACACGTTCCTATTCGACGTTGCCATTCGATGCGACAATCGGTTTCAGGCATCTGGCGGTTATGTACCGTCTTTTCTACATTGCTAGTGCGCGCTTCTAGGTGCTACCACGTTGAGACCCACAATGGTGCGGTTGTTTCAAAGCGTCCCATTGTTGCTCAACAACTGGTTGTAGTTTGCCAACATTCCTGAGTCATAGCGTACTCCTATGATGTATGACAGACATCCAATACTCGCTGCTATTTGAGGTTCGGACGATATGAGGAGATCCGAAGGCGCGTGAACACTAGGTGGCGGCTGAACTTGGTGCATGACTTGAACGCAAGGCTTACGGCTGAACGTAAGGGTATGACGATTGTCCTTGAAGTCTGTATAGGGCTCTGGTAGCACATTGCTTGTATGTTCACAACGTGATAATGCGGTATGTATGGTTCCCAACCGGTAAACCTATTGGCAAAGGCAACTCCACCAACCCGATCCTATTCAAACGCTTCACCGGGGAGATATTGCCTTTGATTCTTCAAAGCGATAGTCAACTCATTGTGCAGATCGCGAGGGCAAAAGCTCTCAAGTTCGAGCCGGCGTAGCTGCACCAGCCTCCGCCTGATGAACCCAAGCTTAACCCTCAGTTCGACTTCTTCCGCGAGAACCGACTACGTCTCCAGACAAGCATATACCACGAATCCTGATTATAGATTCGGAGTAGTGTTTTGCTTTATCGCATCTTACCGCAACCACGCACGTACAACGCCGTCATCTCGTATTCGCCGGATAGACATTGTGCAACGTTTCTTGAGAGATTCTACATCTGAACAGCTTAACCTCCTACCTGAAGGTGGACGTTGCATCGACTCGTATATTCAAGAGGTGGTGTAACTCGATCGGATAGCCAAACTCATCCGTCACGCAGGTCGTATTATAACGGACCCGCTATCACAAGACCAAAGCATAACGCGGTCCATGAACACCCGTGTCTAGATCTCAATCGACTCTCCAGGTCAGAAATCTAGAACCGTTCTTGAATACGATCATCTGCGATATCCACGTACCCCATCCGTGCACATCCCGCGCTCACACATTAGTGAATAAGAGTGTTATTCGACAGCAACCCGGCTGCCACGCCTTGGATAATCAATCATGTCTTTACCAAACGCCCATGTCATACCAATACCCGGGTAACATTCTTACGACATCGGGCTAATATTGACGCATGAATTATGAAATTGAAGAATCGAGCTCGAAGGTAGCTGTTCTTTCGCTTGAACCCAATTACCCGCAAGACCGGCTTAGCGAATGCCTATAGCTTTGCACACTTGCATCACACGAACATTCACTACCGCCTTCCGACATCGCGTGTGGAAAGCCTCCACCCATGTGCGATGTACGATAAATTAAAAAAAGCCGTTTTCTTCATCATGCATGCACTGCGGCAAGTCAGTTTTTCTTTACGAGTGCACGATTGGGGAATGCAATATATAGTAGCCGGCACAAGCAGGTTTGGATACCTGCCTCAGACACGCGCAGTTGCTGCCTTGCTACCACGTTTTCGTAAGCAGCCTGTCGCGTATCCTTGGTGGGGCTGCTTCATTTATTTCTGATAAGAGTGCAGAAGTATGTGGGGTTAATTATATTACTGTGCTTATACGAACAACATTAGGCCGGGTAGGAGAATATATAGGTTGGTAGCGAAGACACGTGGTACTAGTGCAACTGATAAGTGACCTCATGGTCAAGGGTCATTCCTTTTTGCTTGGTTCATGATGGTGAACATCTTACATGACATGGGCCACCAAGTCAGCAGGCTATGAATGAGGGAACCTCCCTTTTGTTGTACTCTTCTCAAGCGCGAAGAACCTACGTGATTGTACTTATGGTCCTATTAATATAAGAGGGTAGTGAATATAGCTAAGTCTCTTAAAGGCGATCCACGCTTAGTGCCTGGCATCTCCCTAGCCATGTGCCATCAAACTGCTTCAGGACTCTCGTGTGTGGCAGCGTCTTCCATCTCGAGTCTCCGTTGAATTCCCTCCCACCCTTTCTTAACCACATCCGCCATGATTTTTCCCATACTGCCTTCCCGTCCTAGCTTTTCCACCGCTTTCTCCACACTCACCAACTCACTTTTATACGTTACTTCCAGCTCATCTACTCCTGTATTCTCGTGGTGTCTTGGCTCGTACCCTTCAGGTTCTTCCTTGATTCTCTCTCGTAAAGAAAGGTTCTGAGGATATGGCGGTGGGGGGTTGTTCGCCGCGCCTGCTTCCGTCTCAAGCAGGGTTTCGAGAATTGGAGGAAGTGTCTCAGCAATGTACCAGTAAATTATATACTGCCGAGAACCGAGAGGAAGGAGCTGCATGCATACTGGCTCGGCAGTCTGTGGAGAAGCATGGATACGCGGGTGGGCTTGCGGTTGGCGATGAGCAGTAGGTAGAGGGAGAAGGCGGTTGCGATAGCCAGACTGTTCAAAGCGTTAGTATGTTTGGTCTCCAGACTAGAAAACGGATATGACGTACCTCTTCGTACCCTTCTCTCTCGGCACCTGTGCCGCTCTCTTCGCCAGCGTCGCGCCGTCCCTTAGGGAGGAAGTAGAACTTTTGTCCGCGATACACGCAGCTGCATATCACGACTCGATTCGTGGCAAGATGGAATATTGCGACACCACCGCCAACTACGAATTGGTTGCTATCGAAGTGTGCGGTGTAGATTTCATTACTGCGTGTCGGCATCGTTGGATTTATTGGTGGTGTTGGTGAAGATGCAGAAATGTCTGTTTTCTATGGTAAGAGGCCGCGCATGAGGCTTGTGAAGCTCCTACTCAATGGGCGGCCCTCAGGTTACAGCACTGATGTTTTGCATTAATGGGCGGTCCCTTCGCTCAGTGACGGCCATCACTAAGGCAGCGAACACTGATGCCTAGGATGGGTGGGTCGAATTGAGGAGGAGGTATGGTGGGGCTAGTGACGTCCAGATGGAACGCAGGAACCCCGCAGTGCTAGCGTGCCGCCCACTCTTCCGCCTTTCGACAAAGTGCTATATATCCGTTACTGATGAACCTATTGTCATCAAAAGCATAACTGGCCTAATGGCCCAATGGCAAGGCGCTTGACTACGATTCGTTCGATATCAAGAGATTCCAGGTTGTAAGTAGACATCTAAATTGCAGCTCGTTCGAACACAGACACTAACAACCAAATAGCGACCCCTGGTTAGGTCACAACAGTATTTTTTGTCCTTCTTTGAGCATGGGCGCTGCTTTCCTTCTTGGCCTCGTTGGCTCCTGTATTGGCTGCGTAAGGACGCTACTAGCTCTGAGTCTTTCTTTTTCATTTTTTTTGCGTCTTGCTGGCCTCAATGCGATAAACGTTTTAACGAAGAAGACAAGCTAGGCGAGAAGATAGCGCGTCACACCCCGCGAGGTTTGCTCAAGACGACTCGTCGTGCCTCATCATCGTTCCAAGTGCAGCTCATAGGCGGTGGAAAGCCGAAGGCACAGGGCCCTGGACCCTGGCTACGATTCAGCGTATACGATGATAGCAGTGCCGCTAATAATCTCATGCATCATCCGCAATTCTATCACTATACCCCGGGTTGAGGGGAACATGCATATCTATCATGTCGTGCTTCTTGGCGGCGAGACCTGATCAGGAAGCTGGTGATGTCCAAAGGTAGCTCAAAGTCTGGGCATCTTCTTGGCTGGCCGTTGAACGACACTCCACATACTTGTTATGTACCAAGCGGCAAAACCGTCGCAATATCTTCATGGGAGGCAACGAGATGAAGTCAAATCGTTGCATCATCATTCACTTGGCTTCGGATGCATGATAAGGTTATGGCATGGTTTGGGTGTGAGTCCGCAGGTATATAATGTCTCTAGAGAAATCATACAGAGCATCCGGTACGCCAGACACCGAATAGTCAATCGTTATTCATTATGAAGTGGACCAGACTATTGTTAGGCGCTCAGTTGGCAGCAGCATCTCCCTTCCAGTCTCGGGACAGCTCTGCAACTCGTAGCGCCGAAGTCACGTATGATGGTTACCACGTTTATTCAGTTACTCCATCTTCGGCCGAAGAGGCTCGTGATATTGGCATGCTGTTTTCCAGGTATCACACTCATCCCATTCGCGATACCCTCTCCATCGCCGTCCCGCCTGAAGAGGTAGACTCCTTCAACGCCCTGGGCCTGAAAGCGCGTCTCGTCAACTCGGATCTAGGCAGTTATATACGCGCTACGGAAAAGAAAGCAGTGTACAAGCGGGACTTGCACAGGCGTGGCGAACTGCCAGATCTCTCCTGGTTCGACACGTATCATCCATATTCCGACCATCTTCAATACTGGGATGATCTTGTTGAGGCATTTCCCAAAAACTCTAAGAAGTTCCCGATCGGAAAGAGCTACGAGAACCGAACAATACATGCTTTCAATTTCTATGGAGACGAAAAGGACAGTCATAGAAAGCACAAAGCAGAGAAGCCAGTCATTCTCTGGCATGCTACAGTACATGCAAGGGAATGGATATCAACTATGGGTAAGAATGTACATGGCGATTACCACGGAATAACAGCTAACTATTACAGTAATTGAGTACTTGGCATATCAATTGATTGACGGCTACAAGAAAGGCGATGCCAATGTGACCACTTTCTTAGACTATTACGATTTCTACGTCGTGCCTTTCCACAATCCCGATGGCTTTCTCTACACACAAACGAATGATCGACTCTGGCGAAAGAACCGTCAGCCACGTCCGAATCTCAACACCACCTGCCTTGGGACTGACGGCAACCGCAATTGGAAGTATGAGTGGGATGCGGAGCCGCCAGAAGGTGGATCTACACCTGATCCTTGTGGCCAGACGTACCGCGGAGAATCACCGGGCGACACACCGGAGAACGAAGCAATGGATGGTCTTTCAGCTAAACTATCGGGAACAGGTGCTGGAATTCGTTCTTTCATCGACTTCCACTCGTACGGTCAGCTCATTCTGACTCCCTATGGCTTCTCGTGCGATCCATTACCAGAAACCCTTCCTCGCATGCTCGAAGTTGCTGGCGGCACAGCAAATGCGATCATGGCTGCTAGCACAAAGAACAGTACTTATGAGTTCGGTCCTGGTTGCCAGATCCTTTACTTCTCGACGGGTAACTCGAGAGATCACCACTATGCTGTCCACGGCGCGAACCACTCGTGGACGATGGAGCTAAGCCCTCAAGATCAGGCTGGTGGTGGGTTTGTGCTACCACCTGATCAGATCTGGCCAGTTGTGAAGGAGCAATGGGAAGGTCAGAAGTGGCTATTGAACGATGTATGGGAGGACTAGCCGTAATGATCAGAAAACATCTTTGGGGATACACCAATATGATATTGACAGGAGGGCAATAACCAGCCTTAGCAGGACTTCGTAATGTCTTTGCGATCGCGATCCCACACAGCAGTTTTGGTCATACGAAGTACAATGCAAAGCTGTACTGAAAACGTTGTATTCTAGTTTGACTAAAAACACGTGCTATGCTACTACATCAACGAAAAGAAGTGTTTGAATTGAAAGGATGACCTTTTCTCTTGATTTTGGTGTCGACTCGCGGGTCTTTTTGGCACCGAGCATTGCTACGCTTTCAGGTTCACATATCAGTGCCTTCTACGAGAACCTGGTATTTCCTCTCATGGTACCCCTATGGCGAATCCGTCGTCCTTCACATCTGAGACTCTTGAAGCTGTTTTTGTCCTTGGAATTGTAATGTGGATGGCTGTTAATGACACATATATCTCTAGTTACTGATACCAAAGCCCAAACGTGTCCAAATTCGAGAAGTCTTCGCTAGTGGTATCCTCCGCCAGATTATCAAACCCAAATCCGGGATCACCCTCACCGGGAAATGCTGAGTCGCGACGTCTAGCAGAAACAGCGTCTTGCCCGTACGCACTAGTAAAGTCCGAAATGTTGAAGTCGAAGTAATCATCACCTGCTCCCAGCATGAAGTTGTCAAAGATCAGCTCTGGTAACAAACACAGATTTCGACCGGTCGTGTCCATGGATATCGGTGTGGCAGCGAGATTGTCGGTGTTCTGGCCATGTGACTCACAGTGATGCTGTTGGTGTACTGGCCGACCAGTAAGTGTCCGAGCTATCTTTGAGAGCATATTAGGTCTCCCTTCACTCGAGGTCGGTCTCTTCTTTCTTGCTTCAACTTCAGAATCCTGTCGTATGTATCCCTTCCAATTCGTCATTGTCAGACCGTCCTTGAAATGGCCTGCGATATGTGTCTCTCGATCTTCCCACGTCTTCAGCACCTTTTCGCAGAAACCGCAAACCCAATTCTCCACAGCGTTGTTGCCTGGTCCTTCTCGTCTCCAAAGATCGCGGATGGTCTCATTCAGTTTCGCTTTGTGGAAGTTCCTGACGTGCTGACGTAGGTGATCCGGTCGCAAGAATGTTCTTTCGTCTTCGCCCTTGGTTATACATTCGGCTATGCGGTGGCATTGTGCAAAGTGCAGATCGCTAGGGCTTGATATCATACAGAAGGCACAGAGTGTGACATTATCAGACCGCGAGGGAAGTGTAATCCTTGGCCCAGAAAGTAAGCATGTCCACTTCCGTTTGGGACGATGTTGTGTTTCCTCATGGCGCCGCCAGGACTTACGTGCGATATGCTGGTAGCAAAAAGTGCATTGCCAGGTCTGCTTTTCGCCATCATCATTGTTTTTGGATGCCAACAGTGATGCAGATTGGGCCACTGATCCCTGATGCGCTGCAAGCCGAATGCTGCCAGACTGGCCATAGTCCTTTTTCTTGCCTCGTCTAGACGTGAATATACCGGTCTGGTTGGAATCTTCGGCTGGAGAATAGGCCACAATAGAACCGTGATGATCAAAAGATGCTTCATTTGACATCGTCGTCGATGTTACGCTCGAAAGTCTGGTTTCCCGCGAACCCTCGTCTTCCGAGGCCGGATTTGACAAACTCGTATCGATTACCCTTCTTCGCGCCCTCGCGTTAGTAAACCAAGTGTTGACCTGTTTCTCAGTGATTCCGCATTTTGTGGCTAACAAACGCTTGGTATCGTTGTCCGGGTACGGGTTGTTTCGGTTCTCCTTCAGCCACCGATGCAGACATCGCGTAGCATGCGACTCGAGTTTGGTAGGTGGTCGTCGGGCGCACGAACGCCTGACTTCTGATGGCTTGTTCACTCGAGGTTGAAATGTTACTTCTGTATCCGGTGTGCATGAAGTACAATTGGTAGATTGGCCCGGGTGAATAAGTGCAGATATCTCACACGCAGAGCATCGCGCGGTGCCCTTAGACCGTGGTAGAGATTGCGAAGGAGGTTCCTCGACTGTGTCTAGTCGAGTTGCTACAGGAGTAGTTTCCGACTGTCCAGGAACCCGAACAATAGTCGTAGATGATGCGGAAGCTTCACTGAGGCAGTCTTCGCATCTAAGTTCCTCCCCAGGATTTGTTATGTTCCAGAGCTGACATCGGAGGCAATCATGGTCGCTGTTTGGTATCGTGAACAACGATGCATTGCTCGAGCAAACCTTGGATGTAAACACATCGAGTCTGGTGTCTTGGGGCTCAGTCGAATCGGTAATTGCTCTTGCGCGAGTCCTGTCTTCTACAAGGCTGAAAGAGTCGCGTAAATCTAGATTTACAGGTTCTTTCTCGATCAGAGAGACCGTTCCATGGATTGAAGAGCTTCCTGTTTGGTTGACCTGGGCAAAATTAGCGGCCGCGTGTTACATGGGACTATGAATGAGGTAGTACAGGGACTCCTTCGGCATCTTCCAAAGTGGCAGAGCCGTAGCCCGAGTCAAAAGACCATATACTGGCAGCTTTACTTTTTGGTGTCGGAGAGAACATCATGACAAGGCGTCAACGGTATTGTCTAAATGTATAAATCGGTCTTCAGACGCTTTGTTTGTAATGCGATACTCTTGACAGTACATAGACAAAGGACCGCGAGTACAAATAACGAGGCACGTCTCACGACGACGCGCGAAGACACCCGTTCAATCTATTCTGAGATACAGGGTGTTTGTGGCTATCCTGGGCGCCTAACATGCGGCACAACGGTGGCGCTGCTCCGCCATTGGTTTGACGGCCGTCTTCTGCGCTGCATGGGGGCCATGCTAGGGACCTCAGCCACACCTGAGGCTGAGGTGCATGGACTATCGCATTTGGCGAGATTGGGGGCCAGAGCGTGGTATTACCACGTCAAATTCAGTATGTGGCGCTGGCACTGAATGGCGGTGCGCGTTGGAAAGTATACTGACAGGCGGTGTGAGTCGCTTGTAATTGATGCGAAGAACTTTGGGACCGCTGTTTAACCAGCAAGACGCAAGCACGAGCAAGACTCGTTCGTGTTGTCTATTACTAATACTGTACGTCATTCCAAGGGACTGACCAACCTCCCCGAAGTATGCGCTAGCAAGCCTGTTATGCTCATCGCTATGGCATAAATTGCTTAGGTTCGAGCTTGCGCCCATGAACAATGATATACAGGTTATCAGTAAGAAACAAAAATATTGGGTATTCATTTTTTCCATCTCGCCCTACCAAACAATGCCGTAATGCATATAACGCAGTTTTGCGAACAATGTGTGTAAATCGGAAAAAAAGGAGAAGCGTTTTTAAAAAAGCACGCCAATCCCTATTCCGACCAGCACCACCCCGTCCCATTCCATTCGTATGCAAGTGATCGTAAAGTCGTTCTAGATGTTCGTCCCTCATCGCCTCCAGCCTTAGGCAGTTTCCCCAGCAACCCCACTACCAGCACCCGCACCAGCACCCTTACACCAAGGATGTTCAAGTACCATACTGATCGTAATCCTCTTTTCCACGTCTCGATCTAGCATCAGCCGCACAAGATCGATGCTCTCTTCCGACATGACCCATGGTACGCGTAGATCGTGATCCATGATTTCGTCGATAGAGTAGAACGGGTTTTCTTTGTAGATGATGGTGTAGAGGAGTATGCCGAGCGCCCAGACGTCCTGTTCTTTACCGCGATAAGCTTTTCCAGCTAGGACTTCGGGGGCGGCGTAGTCTGGAGGTTGTTAGTACAATTATCGCAAACGGAGAAGCGAAAGAGAAACGTACCAATAGTGCCGACAAAGACGTCAAACGGCCCACTCTTGATATATGCTGCGCTTCCGAAGTCAATGAGCTTGATGTTGCCTTCACCATCGAGGACGACGTTCTCGTCTTTGATGTCCCGGTGTACGACCTTCGCTTTAGTATGCAGATGGTGTACCGCTTCTGCCACTTGGACAAAGATCTTACGGCACTCCTTCTCTTCCATGTTGACCCGCAGCTCAATATAGTCGAATAGATCCATACCCGGCAGACCGTGTGGTACCATCTCAATGTAATAGTTGATGTCGTCTTCAAAGAAATCGGCCATCTCTACGATATTGGGATGCTTGAAGCCGTCACGACGGAGATAGTCTAGCACATGAATCTCGAGCGGCACAGTGCCTAGCCTTCGGTCTCGAGTCCATGTGTCGACTAAAATCCGCCGCTTCGTGACATACTTGATCACGACTTTCTTGCTACTGACCTTTTTGTACCGACAGAGCTTAACTTGCCCATACGCGCCTTGGCCCATGTCTTCTAACACTACAAAGTCGTTGATAGTCTTCTTCTTGGGTGGCTCTTCCTGCACAGGGACCGGTGGCGGTGCCATAGCTTTTGTTTGGGTTTGCTGCGGAGTGTTAGGTCGCATGGCTTCCTGTATTTGCTGAGTGAGGAGTGATACTGCAGGTGGGGTTCCTTGCGACTGGTGCGATTCAGGTTCTTGCGGTACCGAGAAGTTTGACTGCCCTGGTTCAGGTTGGCGCGGTGAAGGTGGTCGCGACATAAGAGGAGTCACAGGACCAATACCATGGTTTGCAGCATGCAGCTGCCTGGAGTATGTTATCCACAGAGCGTAGACTAGCTCTGGACTCTTGGTAGGTTTGGACGATCCATCTTCCTCTTCAATGACATTTTCATCGAATCGAGGAGACTTTTCGCTCTTCACTACTCGCATCTGCACATCGACCATGATTTCCGAACCGTCACGATGTAGAGCTGGCAATCCGCTTGGTCGCAGGAAGATGGCTGCCGCATCTGCACTACCCTCCCGCATTGCAAGCAGGGCACGGGCACGGCGGAAGCTGTGTTCGGGGATGACTATTCCGTCGACCAGCTCGATCTTATCTTCATCGGTCATGACATGCAGTATCTTGTCGAATGCGGGTATGAGCTTGCTCACGTGGATACCTTCGGGTCGTGGTTGTCCGAACAGAGCTGATGAAAAGACGGAATTGGAGCTTGTGATTTTGAGATCGTCGGAAGATAAAACGATGATGCCCGCGATGTGTGGGAAACTAGAGATGCGGAAAGTGGGTTCGCCTGGCATCGCCTCCACGGTTACTGGTATATTGATGCTGTTTGAAGTCCGCGCGGTGTAGCTGCGAAACTCGTCGATCGACTCGTAGTCTAGCGCCCCAGTGTTTGTTCCTCGGAGTCGTGGTATGCCTGGTATGAGTCGCTTGAGATCCATTCCCCTCCGTAACCGATCGCTCCCAAAGATAGCTTCTGTTGCGCCCCAGCCCTTGGATACGCAGCCTACATCGTCGACCGTGATATATACGACATCTTCCGCAATCTCTTCAAGCACCCAGATGAGACTACCCCGCTTCTCTTTGACCCACAAGCTGGCAGAACCAGTTGAGCCATTACGCTTCTGGATCGGAATGACATCTCCACAAAGTAAAACACCTCTTGAGCCCTTATGTTCATGATTCAGCTTGCCTGTCTTCTTCGCATTGTAGTACGAGGATCCACTGCCATCGTCTGTCTGTGCTTTCCTCGCGGCTATCACGCGCGATGGAGCCTTGCTCAGTAACCGTGCAGTAACACCGCTGCCGACTTTCAGGTTGTTAGTTGCAGGAGATGCTCCGGACAGTGCATTCTTAGAGCCAACCTCGGGATCTCTGAGCTTGCTTTCGAGCCACTTTCTACGGTCTTCTCGCACGACTTCCAGTATCCCCAGCTTGCGGACCTCAGCCCTCGTCACACCGAATACAAGGCATGCCAAGTCGTTTGCAGATGTAATGGTCCATGGCGTATCTGTTTCGGTGGTGAAGATGGCTTGTGCTGCTGGAGCGTGTCGGCTTCCATGTCCATGTGGTGCTGATCCCGCGGAATGAGGCCCTGGTGCATTGCTAAAACTCGGCGGCAGAGTTGGGATAATGGTAGGGGATACAAGGTCGCTGATCTTCTCTTGGTCTCCCACCCGGTATGGCTGCGCTAGTGCATCGTGCAGTTGGCTCTGGATCGTAAGAGGCGCAACGTCGGTCAGAGTTCGTTTGAGCGCAGCTCTTTGGGGACGTGCAGGTTGCGAAGGTGGTGGAGGCGGAGAAGCTGCCGCTGCTCGTGTGCTCAACGCGTTGGGGGCGATTTCGGTACCCGGTGAGGCTCCTTCTTGGCGAGCTTCTGGTGTACTGCTGGTGTCGATGACATCGGTCGTAGTCACTCTGTGTACTGGTGGTCTCGCAGCCTCAAGCATGCTCTCGGGGCTCGCTGATCGATCAACTGTGAAACCCTTCTCGAATGGGTTCTCGCCAGACATGTCCGCCGGCCCTGTTACGGGACCCAGCGCACCCAGTCCATGGGCTCCCGTGCCGTCTTGGCCTATGAGGTTTGCTCTTGTAAGCAGCTCCATCATACTCTGCACCTCCTGATCGCCGCTGAGTTTTGCCTGGGCGTTTGCTATTCCAGGATTTGTCGCGGCCCAGCCCAGCCTGTCGCGCATAAACTCGATGGACCGCTTCAGCACATTCTGGCGGTTGTGTATAAACTCTTCTGATTGCGTCGCAAAAGAAAACGAGTGTAGAGACTCGGAGGGAAAGCGAGTGAGATCCTCACCAAAAGCAAAGGTCGGTGATGCGGGGGCAGTGGGCGCAGACTCGGAAGGATGTCTCGATACTGGTGGCGTGGAAATGTTCAGCGAAGCAGCTCGTTGGGTCGACTGCAGCTGTCTCGGGCCTGGCTGTTGGCGGATGCGACGGAGGCCTGAGGATCCCAGACCGTGTTCATGCTCGGACACGATGGGCGACCTGGTGCAATGTGTGTCAGCCATGACCCACAACGCGAAGAGTGCTCCTTCCTGACCAGCGTCCTTGCACGGCCGCCTATCTCGACGTTCCACTCACCTTGCCATGCGGTCCAGCTGCCCTGCATCGATGCTCAGGCGCTTGGCCGTGTCGATGGGTGGCGGCGGCCCCGTTCGCCAGTTCAGCAGGCTCGAGGTGCTTTTCGTCTTGACCAGCGGGGCATATTCGGAGAGGTGCTGTGACTGTGCGAAGGAGTTGAAGGGTGCTTCTTCTGGTAGAGAGCCTGGCGGGGTGAGGACGTCAGCTAACAAGTTCATATGGAGCACGAGTATGCAATGACTAGTGGCGAGCGACGTAGTGGCAGCGGTACAGAGCAAGTTGTAAGTATTGGGGTCGGGTGTCTATTGTGTACCGTAGTCCAGGTGGGTGCAGTGGCTCCGTCCAGCTCCTCTCTCAGAGCATACATGTCTCGCAGTGTTGTGGGCGGTCAAGCTTACAAAGCTCACCATGGGCTCTTGGTGACACAAGCCGTCGAGGCAGTCGTGGGCGTCACGACGTGAGGCGGAGGGTCATTTGACGTACCATGATCATTTGGCCTGCTCATTCCCTGAGGCGTACGAGCGCCTGTTCCCAGGCTTGGGCAATTGTCTCGGCTCGGTAAGATCAGAAGCAGCGAACAACGACGAGATGACTAGCCCTTGGTCTACAGGTACACAGCTTGATGTGTACTGACCCGTGTGTCGCGTTTGGGGTGGCTGTATCGCTTCTGGGGTACGGCTGGATGATGCGTGGGTGGGTGGTGCAAAGGCTTTGGTGGGGGCTGCAGGGTTGCTGAGGGCTGGAGTCGGATATCACCTGCAACGGGTACGGCTGTTCAGTAAGAGATGCGATGCGATGCGTGGGGCAGACCAGACGCAAGAGATGAGCAGTAGGCGTGCACAGTGAATGGCATGTAGTTACGTCGCGGGCACTATGCGACTTGAGACGCCAACGGCGTTATTTGCATTGCGCCCACGCTGGCCCCGCGACAAGCACAGACGATCCACCCGCCGTCGACGCTATCAGATCAGATCTACCAGACCGCCTGGGCCGGGACACCACCAGAGTCCTACATCATAACACGCTAGACGGCGAGGTTGCACAATAAAGTAAAGATGCGTACCATGCCTGGGACATACGCTGGTTCTGGCTGAGCATCCACTTGTGTCGCACCAGCGTCCGCACCCGGCCTTGGCTTCGTCCGTCCGGCAAGCCTCCGCTAGCCTTTGCTCTGACATGTGCTGCTCTGCCGCGCCATCCATCAACTGGCGAGCAGGGTGAACGTCCCGCCAATCTAACCGATGTCCATGTCGTCATACTATGTCCATAGGCATCTGGTATACCGCTGTTTCTCCAGCACCACCATGTACTGTGAGTATGGAAGTAACAGATGTCAGACGCTCAATGGAGGCATTTGAATTCTCTGCTCGTCATGCAGAAAATCGTGCATGTTGCGACCACCGTGATTAGCTCCGCATACCCCGGAAAATGCCATTGGTTGAACATGGCTCCTGCGCATGCCGTGTGCCGACTCATGCACCAAATCTGGACATCTGGGGAGGCTTCGAGCCATCAGTGTTGTCGAAGAGTATCTTTGTGCTGGTTCCAGAAATTCCTGCAGCCTAATTCTACAGTCAGCAATTGCCTTCATCATGGCGTCCTGATAAGCATACCTCGATGCATGTTGACCTGGTCTATCCACCACTCGCCAAAGCTGTCGTCTGTCGCCATATCGGCTGCCGTCACTCTTTCCTCCCGTTTGAGCCCGCATAGCATACAAGCTTGGCGCGCTGGTATGCCGCCTTCAGACTGCTTCAATGTCTTTACCGGCATTGTCTCTTGCAAGTCTGGCCCACGATCCAAAGAACCAGCTTTGATCTGATTTGCTCCGGATACGACGTGTCGCAGTCGCCCAACCTGCTCTTTCCAACTTCTCACCACATCTGAGACCTCTCGCTCTTCCTTCATGTTCTCGCCCTTGTCGATACCTGTCAACTTCATCCCGGAAGTTGCTCGTGACGACGCAGGGCCTATTCGCATGCCTTGGGACAGGTGTTGGTCTCGCTTCCAGCGCAATTTACGGCCAGCTATGATGTGTGCCGCAACGTTCCCAAGGATTATGTAGCCTTCAAGGTATGCGATTGTTGTGGGCTCGGCCAGTAACTTATTTCTCATGGGTAGGGGTTGCGCTGCCATGGGCTTGAACAACTTCTCATTTGCTTCCGCAAATAGAGAAGGGAAAAGTGATAACAACATACCGGGCGGCGGCACGTTAGTAGGTGGTAGTTCACTGGGCTGTGGACCTGGTATTGTAGGGGAAAGTATTGGAGCTGGTGTAGTGGGTAATGCAGCACTCGTGGTCGACTGCATGGTTCCGGATTTGCTCGGTGCTTTCGTAGGAATAGAAGCCTCCCAATCATCGAATTCATCCCATCCGTCATCTTCTTTCTGTGCTGGCGGTGCGGGTGTTGGGACCGGTCGTTCTGGTCTAGTAGAAGCACCGAATCCGATCTTAGATTTCTTACTCGTGGCCATTTGGCCCTCGAAAATCTGACTTGCGTTGACAGTATTTACACCCCTCGAGACAGGTGGTTGAGACTGTGATATGCTCATATCCCCTAATAGGTCCACGAGTGCTGGGGATGATGCAACAGGTGCTGTAGAAGGCGCTTTATTTTCCTGTTCGCCCTCAAAATCGCCAAAGTCGTCGTCATCATCATCGAAATCATCCTCTGCATCGAACAGTACGCTTGGGTCCGCAGACTTCTTGGCCTTCACGATAGGTGCTCGCTGCCAAGTTTGCTGTGTCGGCTCGCAGGACGATTGCGATTTGGATACAAAGGCGTCATTTGTAACTGAGCCCACGTTCCAGGCATTCAATGGTGGTTGGGGGACCGGAGGCGATGTGAATGCGAACAGATCTTGCTTGGCGGCAGGAGCGGGTTCCGTAGATGTGCCGCCCTCGAAATCACCCCAGTCGTCGTTGTCTTCAGCTGTAGATTCTTGAATGAAGCTGGAAACAAAGTTCTCATTATTGCCCACGGGCGGAGGTTGCTGCGACGATGATGCTGGGATTGGGGTGTTGGTCAGGCTGTTGAAGAAGCTGAATTCTGACGGAGCAGGTGGAGCGGTAGTCGCCTGCGTGTTGACGGGCCGCGACTGCTGTTGATCCGAGGGGGAGTCGGCTCCAAATTCCGCGAAAAGATCCGCTGACATTGCTCGTACAAAGGGATGAAAATGTAACGTTGTAGAGCGGCGCTGGCCTGCACGTGCATGTAGTTGGTGAGTCCACGCCAGCGCTAAAGTCGAAAGAGTGGGCCGGTCTCGAAGCCAAAGCCACAACAATTGCCAGCTTCTTCACATCTGATACAATACCGAATGAGCTTAATGAAGCATGATGAACTCTTGTTAGGTGTAAAGAATATCCCAGCAATGGACGCTCGCAGTGCTCCTCGGCAACTTTCACGCAAACAAAAGAATCCAAAACCGATCCTCTTTAATGACGAACCGGAAACCCTCAGTTTGTAGCACAAGCATTTTACCAGCATTACAATCGTGAACATCTTAGAGCTGAGCACTTGAAGTAGTCTGATGTGCACAGTTAGTTGCCTCCCTGGATCCAACACTCTAATTAAAGGAAAACTAAACAGGTATAGAGATCACAAGCTTTACATTGCAGCTTACATTAGCTCTTAAAGCGCTTTGTTGTAGTAAGAAGAGATACTCTACTCCAAAGGGATGTTAGTTTCTCTCTTTGATGTAGTGTAAGTACAAGCGCGACCGACACCACATAAGAGCACGACGCATGGTGAGACATTTGTCACCATCTTTGATAAGACCTCGACGACCAAAGTATTGCTGGTGATAGGCACACCATACAGGGCGATGTGATAGACACCACGAGGAAGTAGAGACACCATCAACAGTAACCAGTCACGCATGTCAGAGGAGAGGTTTTTGTTCATATCCCACCCATGTTTTCATTCATATCATTATGGAAACTATGGAAGGACGACGCCAGGACCCCAGACCGTTATGCATGACACGTTTCAAAAGTCATCACAGCTTTTCCGAAGCAACCACATCCCCAGAACCAGGTATCTAGAGACGAAAGAAGAGAAACAAGCAACCCAAGAAGAGAGCGCTTATTTCTTGGAAGCCTTCTGGGCGGCCTTAGTGACCTTGCCGGCCTTGTCGGCCTTGGCGACGGACTTGATGACACCGACGGCAACGGTCTGACGCATGTCACGGACAGCGAAACGACCGAGAGGAGGGTAGTCAGTGAAAGCCTCAACGCACATGGGCTTGGAGGGAACCATCTTGACGATGGCGGCGTCACCGGACTTGATGAACTTGGGAGAGTTCTCAACAGACTTTCCGGTACGGCGGTCAATCTTCTCGAGGAGCTCAGAGAACTTGCAAGCAATGTGGGCAGTGTGGCAGTCGAGGACTGGGGCGTAACCAGCACCGACCTGACCAGGGTGGTTGAGGACGATGACCTGGGCGTTGAAGGACTCGGCACCCTTGGGGGGGTCGTTCTTGGAGTCACCGGCAACGTTACCACGACGGATCTCCTTGACGGAGACGTTCTTGACGTTGAAGCCGACGTTGTCACCGGGGACACCCTCGGTGAGCTGCTCGTGGTGCATCTCGACGGACTTGACTTCAGTGGTGACACCAGCGGGGGCGAAGGTGACGACCATACCGGCCTTGATGATACCGGTCTCGACACGACCGACGGGCACCGTGCCAATACCACCAATCTTGTAAACATCCTGGAGGGGAAGGCGGAGGGGCTTGTCGGTAGGACGGCTGGGAGGGTCGATGGCGTCGATGGCCTCGAGGAGGGTCTTACCAGTGGCCTTGGCCTTGGTCTCCTTCTCCCAACCCTTGTACCAGGGGCAGTTGGATGAGGCCTCAATCATGTTGTCACCGTTGAAACCGGAGATGGGGACGAAGGGAACGTGCTTGGGGTTGTAGCCGACCTTCTTGATGAAGTTGGAGGTCTCCTTGATGATCTCCTGGTAACGCTCCTCGGACCACTTGGTGGTGTCCATCTTGTTGATGGCAACGATGAGCTGCTTGACACCGAGGGTGTAAGCGAGGAGAGCGTGCTCACGAGTCTGGCCATCCTTGGAGATACCAGCCTCGAACTCACCAGTACCGGCGGCAATGATGAGAATAGCGCAGTCGGCCTGGGAGGTACCAGTGATCATGTTCTTGATGAAATCACGGTGACCGGGGGCGTCAATGACGGTGACATAGTACTGAGTACAACATGTTAGCATTGTAAAGAGCTTGATGTAGTAGGCAGAGGGGTACTAACCTTGGGAGTCTCGAACTTCCAGAGAGCAATGTCGATGGTGATACCACGCTCACGCTCGGCCTTCAACTTGTCGAGGACCCATGCGTACTTGAAGGAACCCTTACCGAGTTCGGCGGCTTCCTGTGAGGCTTGTTAGCTCGCTGTGGCCAGAATGGGGAAATTACATGTGCGTCATTGCGTTGGAGTTCGCGAAGGCCGCATGCGGACTAGCGCTAGCGCGTAAAAGTTCGCACACCCCCACCACCCAAAAATGCCCCTCATCGCGATAAGCCAGGCTTTGGCTACGCGCTCAGAGAAAGCATCAGGTGGGCGCAACAGGCCGCGTGAAAGAAAAGTGATGCCATACCTTCTCGAACTTCTCGATGGTACGCTTGTCAATACCACCGCACTTGTAGATCAAGTCTGTATCCCAGTGTAAGTTGTTTGACCCCGCAGTCGTTCGGAGAGGGAGGGCTTACGGCCGGTGGTGGTGGACTTTCCGGAATCGACGTGGCCGATAACGACCACGTTGATGTGCATCTTCTCCTTACTGCAGCCATTGTTAGCGAGGTGTGCCAAGGGTGGTCGTGGCAGCCTCGAGCTCTTCCAGTGGGCAAATGTCGAGGCTCCACTGGTTCGAGGCGGAAGGCAGGCAGAGTCACTTACCCCATGTTGGCGGTGTTGTGTTGTTTGAGGTTATGTGGTGGTGAGGGGAAGTTGTTTGATACTCAGATTTACAGCGCGCGGTGTAAGGTATGAGTTGGACGGAGAAGAAAAGTTGAGTGATGGAGGGGTCGGGTGCTAATATACCTGGAGGGCTGTGGGTCTGTGCTAGTTTTAGGCGCTAGGTCCCCGTTGGGCTACGAAAACTCCTTCACTTGCAACGAATTCAACTGCGAAAGAGGCAAAACGGGTCCCTTTAATTGGCCCACATGCCATGGAGCCCTTCCACCCGCCTTGACCGCCTGCTATAGCCTTGCCACAGCCGCAGTTGCCTCACGCGAGTCTTTGGGACCATCGTCATTGTTTGCCCATCAGCCCTTTTTTCGTACCCGCGTCACCTACGCGCTACAGCTTTTGCTTTTGCACAATGCTCGATTGTTACCTTCACGGCCGATTTGTCTTATCCTGGAGACTGACCTGGCATGCAGTCATCGCGCTGAAACAGTCCCGGCGTCACCTTTGCCGCACTGCAAACTTTTGGCGGGGTACTGAGATTGCCATCATAATCTGTACCCAGCCCCACTGCAAGCGGAGTCTATAGTGGCCTCGTCGATGGTACTATCCAGATCATGCACAACACCGTGTCCATTTCTTACGTTCCGCTGCTAGCCACTGATTCCATCGACCTTACCGTCACCTTGGGCATTGCTGCTTATGGAGCCATAAATGGGCCCTCGTTGACTCATTAAGCGCTGCCACAGACGCCCACCATCTTTCCGCCCAACTATCGTGGGACAATCCTTGTAACCGCTCATATGCCGCCCTTTACCGACGTGGAACCTGGAGTGGCAACCTACATTGACGCTGACTTCACTAAGCATACACCTCATAAAAGGAAAAAACTAGACAGATACAGAAATAACAAGGTACATTTTACAGTCTACATTATCTCTTAATAAGAAAACTTATAAGGATTTACAGCATTGTAGTCTTCTAGGTTTCTTATTTATATCTACATAGACCTAATACGCTTTATTGTACTAGGAAGAAGTACTCTGCCCTAAGAGGTGTTTAGTTTCTTTCCTTAACGTAGTGATAGCGGCTGAAAGAAAAATTGTTCCAGGATGGAGATCTACTCGCTCGAAACCCAACCGTTATCACCATCGCGACGCAGCGCAAGCTTTCCACTTTCACTCCGGGGAACGTTGGGCTTGCAGAGCTTCATCAAGCTTCTACCACCAAGGCAACATCGTTTCGCCCATCTACACAGGCTATGTGCGTCACAAAAATCTGAACCTCTGGAGCAAATCTCACATTCGAGCTTGTCTTCTTCCATCTGTTGCCCTGCCTGATCTACCGCAGTGAAGGTTGTCAGATGCCAACTCGGTAGCGTAGGTATACGGTTCGTTTTGTTTAAGCTAAGGCCCGGGAGCCATCGAAGAGCTAATACTACGATATCCTTCAGGCAGAGACTTGCCTAGCCAACCTCAAGCTGCAATCTTCCGTCCAGCATACAATCTATGTGTTACCGACGAATCAACCTAGCCGTATAATGAACTCCTTCGTTGGCTACACGTCGTTCACAGTCATATGAAGGTTGCGAGAGAATTGCTTCTTGGTGAGAGTGATCGAAGAGGCTTGCGGCAACGCTACATTGATGCGCACAAGATATTCGTTAGATTATCAGAAAGATGAAGGCCAGCGCCCGGGCTTGATACCTCACTGCGCAGACGATTATACTTGGCTCCTGGTAACACCACCTCATGAGTTGCTTCCCTTTCTGAGGCTTTAGAGGTACCAGGATGGCTATCAGCATTACGGTCATCATGTATTTTTTGAAAAGGGTGTGTCCGCTTTCAAGGACAAGCGATGGTACTGAGATGTTCGCATCACACGTCTGGTTGCCCTTACGTTCCCTTACGCTAAACGACTTCAGCAATGTATTCTCTCTCTGACGAGTTCTCGATAGAAGCATTCAAGTGCTGTCTACATCCTTCTGTTACAGAGAACATGGATTTTGCGTTCCATCGTCATCGAGACTTCACTCTCGATCGGAGCTCACCTTTCGCCCTTGTAAAAAAAAAAGGCTTTTGAGCCATGCTAAATGGGGGTATATCATCATACCCGAATATTCTGTGATTGAGATTGTTCATGCGATTGAAGAACAGTACCGCTTAGCGGCAGTTATCGTAGACTGTTGATGACGACGGTCTTCAGGAGTACAACAATCGGCTAGATATTGCATGAACCATGCTAGCTTGGCAAAAAAGAATGCAAGAATTCCATCCGAAAGCCTATACCACTCTTTGAATACCTAAGTAAGTAATTGTACAACTTAAAATGGGTAACAAGCGTCTTCGTACACTGAAAGGTGGTGAGGTTCAGAACTAGGCCGGAAGAGTCTACCAGAAAAAGGAGATGACTACGTTGTGGCTTGACTGCCTTATTGGATTGATGGTATATATTGGCGAGATAATTCGTAGTAGCGAAGGTTGATTGTAAATGTCTGGTCGACTCAATTGTTATACCCTGTCATTCTTAGCGCAGCCTCGCTTGCATGGTGCGCGGGCATCTAGCCAGAAACCAAACAGCTGCCCCTCCAGAAAACAGCACCAGGTCTCCTGTGCGACTACACTTGCTCTTTTTCCTCCGCATACCCACTCGATGACTGCACCTACACACCTCGATCCCAGCGAGCTGGGAACCAAATCCTACTGGGACGCGGCCTATAGCACCGAGCGCCAAAACTTCGCCGCGAACGCAGAGGACGAGGGAACGATATGGTTCAGCGACGCGGGTGCCGAGGAGCGCATGTTGTCTTTTCTTGAGGATCTCGGCGATGAAGGCCACGTACACAAAGAAGGCGATGAGGGCGACAAGAAAGCTGCACGATTCTTAGACCTGGGAACAGGGAATGGGCATCTACTGTTTGCGCTGCGGGAAGACGAGTGGAACGGCGAGATGGTGGGGGTTGATTACTCTGCGCAGAGCGTTACGCTTGCGACGTCAATCCGCGATGCGAAAGACGCTTCTTATAAGGACATTGCGTTTCATGAGTGGGATATCCTGTCGCAGCCACCGGGCGCATGGTTGGGCTCAGGCTTCGACGTTGTACTGGATAAAGGAACGTTTGACGCTATATGCTTGTCACAAGAGGAAGACGCTCAAGGTCGCAGGATCTGCGAGGGATACAGGGAAAAGGTCGAGCCCCTCACGAAGAAGGGCGGCCGATTTCTCATAACGAGCTGTAATTGGACAGAAGAGGAGCTCAAGGGCTGGTTTGGAGGAGGAGAGTTTGAGTTTGAGGGAAAAGTCAAGTACCCCAGCTTTACTTTCGGAGGCAAGACAGGCAGCAGTGTTGTTACGCTCTGCTTCAAGAGGACGTGATTCCGCGCTTCTTTGCTGGGAGGAAAGGTTCCTACCGCTACTATTGCTATGGTGGAACAGCCCGCCGTATCCGCGCGAAAACGAGCCACTTCTTCCGCTCGCCCATGTTCTCCAAACCACCATCGCGCTCCTTGGCCCACGACCGCCGCTGTCCGTTCACATCCATCTCGTATATTTCCTCTACCTCGAGCCCTTGCTCCGGCACCACTTCTTCGAAGAAGGGCGCGACTTTGGCGCGGCCCGTGTGAAAGCCTGCGATACAGTATATACGTGCAGATGGTTCGTTGGAGAGGAAATGCAGCATCGATTGGGCGAGGCTTTGGTGCTCCCATGGCATCCAGAGACAATCGGCTGCGAGGATGCGCGTGTAGTGGTGTGCGTGTGAAGTTTCAAAGGGGGTGCTTGTAGAGCCCCATTGATGGCCTTGGACGGTCACATTGGGCTTCAACAGCTCTGGGACATTCTTGGCGACGTTGGCTTGGAGGGTATCGAGGATGGGAGCGGCCGGGTAGTCGGTGATGGCAATCTATCAAGCTGTTAGTCCAATGATGCGGGTGGTCCGGGTAGGGGCATACCTCTTTCGCGCCTGCCAGTGTACTAAGAATGCCGCCTAGCCCCACGCCTGCGAGCAAGTGTTCCATCAGTACTCTTTTCTTCACCTATCTTTCCGGCCCAACCCACCTGCGCCCAACTCCAAGACCGTCTCGCCCTCCACACTCCACTTCTTCTCCTCTTCTTTGTCTGTCCACCACTCGCCGTCTCTCCAGCCCTCTTCATCTTGGAGCAGACCCTTGCCGCTTGCGCCCAAGTCTCCACCCTCAACCCGCCCACTGACCAGCTCTGCCATCATAACGCCAGCATTCCACAGGTAATGCGCAAACTTTCGTCTCTGCTCCTCGCCATTGAAATCGGCCACTCTCAACTCCAGCTCCCCGAACTTGGCGTTGCGATACAAGATGACCGTGTTTGGATCGTCGCCATGCTGGTTTTGCGTGTCGTCGGTGAAGATGCCGCCGAGGGAGGAGCCAAAGATGTCTTCTGGCTCGAGAGGCGTGTTGCTTGGGCGGCGGAGGTTTATCAGCGACGGCAGTAACATTCCGAGGGCGGACGTGAGTGTATTTGGAAAGAATACGGTGGGCGTCGGCTGGGGATTCGTTGAGACAAGCCGAAAGTGATGGATGGCCGCACGACGCAATGATGCGCTATGGAGGGGCTCGCGAAATCTTTAGCGGGGCATGCGTGCTAGGCTGTACGTGGCATGGCTCGCGGGTAGCATGCAGGGACCCAACGCGTCGTCAGACAGGTCGTGAGATCATCATTTGCCGAGGCTGCTACTGCTCGTGGCGCTCGTTTGAAACTGTGACTTTGCTCCTCCCTTCTATTGTCAGCTTGCTTCTGGTCGATACCATATTGCCAGCTCCCGACAACAAGACTGACTACAACACGTAACCGCTACCATGTCATTCTCGTCGTTCAAGAATCCGGCGACGTACCATTTGCTCAGGTATAACAACTGCACCTTGCAAGCTCAAAACCAGGCACGTCTGATAACAGAGCTATAGCTATGGCACCCTCCTCGGCTCAACCCTCTTCCAGTCCTTCGTCTCAGGCATCGTAGCCTTCCGCGTCCTCCCGCGTCCCCAATTCTCCACACTTCAGAAGCACACTTTCCCTGTATACTTTACGCTCCAAACTCTTACTCCCGTTGTAATGCTGCTCACCTATCCGCGTGGTGGTGCACCCTCCCTGCTTCCATTCCTCTCTTCGTCTCCCATGCCACCGACTGCAACCGACAATCTGAGTTCCTGGCTACATACTACCATGTTCCTCACGGCGCTGGTGAATTGGGTGTACATTGGGCCCAAGACGACCGAGGTCATGGGTCTGAGGAAACATCAGGAGACCAGGGATGGGAAGAAGAGCTACGATGCCGGGCCACACAGCAAGGAGATGCAGGCCTTGAACAAGCAGTTTGGCATCTTGCACGGCGTCAGCAGTTTGGTCAACATGGTGGGCTTGGGGGCTATGATCTGGTATGGTGCGGTACTAGCTGAGGGACTGAGTTTGTAAGGTATGAACAAGGTGTGAAGAGCATGTATGTATTGGGCGAAAGAACTTCGTCGAGTGCGAAAGCGCCATGGCCGACAAGCACGTCTGGCCGTCTTGTTGTACATTCAATATTGAACACACAGCATGTTCACTGTATCCTGCTACAAACGCCTATGCCTTGACAGTAGCTAGTCGGTTTCTCTTCTTTGTACTTGCGCAACTCCATGTTCTGACCTGACCCGACATACTGTATCATGGCAATTACACTACAAGAACGTCAATCATCCAAGTCGTCGAATGCTCACACTAGAGGTTACTCGAGGACGCAACGAAACGCGACAAATGATGATAGGGGAGTGCAGTATCGACAGCTTGTCTCTCGCGCTGTAACACAGCGTTTGCATTCGCCATCTCTTGACGACCTTACGAAGACAGATGTGGCTAACAAACTTGCGCATCCGTTGAAGACATGGGAGACACAAGAGCGCTCCATTGCACGAGACAAGGCTCGAATCGAGGCCAAAACGCTGGATATACCATGGAGTAAGACCACTTTTCCTCTTACATGTATTCCTACACTTCACACCGATTCCGACATGCAGATAGAGCTGACAGATGATAGCAAAGTTTATCCGCGATGTAGAGAGCGCTACCCTTGAAGTCCATGTCCTCACGCCAACACGATACGAAGCACCCTGCGGGGACAGGATCAAGAACCAAGAAGCGAGCACGAGAAACGAAGGAGTTTTATACAAATTCGGCGCTTTGGAGGATATGGATGAGGACAAAGAGTGGAAGAAAAAAGACGCAGCTATTTACAACGTGCTCAAAGCTTTTCAGGGAGGACGGTGTCGCGACTGAGGGCTTCCGATCCTAGCATCTGTCGGTAATTGTTGGTGTTAGTGGAGTGTATCGACGACATAGACTATGCCAGAATCCTTCAAGTGTAGATCGAATCCGAAAATTGGTTTCATCTCACCCGAAGTCCTGGATCGAACTTACTGTATGGACATAGCTGGCTACCTGCATCAAGTGACATGAGCAAGCCAGTCATCTAATTTACTCCAGTCGATGGGGTCCAATGCCATATCGTCGACGATATAGTCCGCAGCTAAGAAGGTGTCCAACCCATCCATCTCCATGATATCAAAACCTGAACCGTCAAAGTCGTTGGAGAACGTGGAAGGATTGGTACCATCAAAGACAGTATGAGGATGACCAGATGGCGTTTGGATTGGATTGGGTGTCGAATCCAGTAAGAGATCAGAGTCATCAACTGGGATACTGCCGCCAAGCTGACGCGTATTACTTTTGACTGTATCAGTAAAGGTAGCAACATGACTGCTATTCGCATCGCGTTTCTGCCGTCTCAGTCTTGCACAATCGCGTTGGTGACGTAGACGTGCTATAAAACTGGGTACCGACGATATGACTACATCTCTTGAACGAAGTAGCGCCTCCAGATCACCATATGCCTTCAAGCATAGATGGCCCACAGCAGCATGAACGGGTTTTCTCATGTCCTCAATCATATCTGGATTGTTGTCGTAGGTTTCACCGATGAGTCTCCAAGCCCGTTCAACATCAAAAACCTCAGGATTGGCCCGGAGAACGTCCAATACGTGAATGAAAGCGTGCCATTGCCGATACCAGGGCGTGTTCCATGCAAACCGTTGGATAAAGGGGTTAGTCTGTAACATCACTTGTTGTTCGAGAAGTTTAAGACAAACTTCCCATATCTTCTGGCGTTCCTCAAGCGGTGTTTGCTCGATACTACCCCAGCTCCGTGGATGATACATCAAGAACCGGGCTACGTTCAGGCCATATCGAGCAACTAGCATTGTGACAAGATCTAAAGGCTGAGAGGGATCACAGTAACGAAGATGTTTCGTTTCGATAGCCTCTTGGAGCTCTTGAATCTTACTCTCGCGGTCCTTTTTGTCTTTTCCCGAATGGTCAAGGTTCATCTGGCTAAGGTCTTTTCCTTCTTGTCGAAGGGCTGCGATACGCGCGGCAGCGAACTTTCCCATCTCACACCTTGTCACGATGAAAACAGCGTCCGTCAGTCGATCCGATTGTAGGGGTAGTTCAGTCATACTGGGATACAACTGATCATCGTTGACATTGAGAGGCCACTCAGCTCGGTGGGGACCGACATCAGGATCTCGGTATTTCGAAAGGCCACACAACTCCGTAGCCCGAGAATCATGAGTCTTCAACTGATACCATATACGCCGGCGAATCTCGGTTTCGAAGGGAGATAGTCCTAGATACTTTCCGTCGCGCTCTAGACCCATGCCTTGAGCGATGCGAACAGCTGCACCAGTAAGGGTCCAGTTGGCGCGTGGTGTGTAGATGTCGCGGGTTGTAATGAGATGTATGACTAAAGCCTGGAGAACAACTATACTGGTAGTCTCCATCACCTTTGCTCGCGATAACGCCGTTTCTGTCGCGGAGATATATTGAGAAAGCAGACGCTCACGGGGCTCAGTGAACCGTTGCTCGCATTCGTTTCGGCTTAACGACATGACAGCGGAGCCATATATAGCAAACATGAGTGCTTCGAGTGCCCGTGGTATGACCCCAGAGCTATCCGCAGCTTTCTCAATCATTGGCCTCAGACTAGGGACATGCACCACTTTCGTCAGTGGATCGACGTTGCTGACAAATGTCTCCCAAAGTTGATGTATGCGGTCTATCGAGGGATGGCGAGGCCTACCGCCAGTATGAGTATGTCTGAGGAGAGCAAATCCTGAGTTATCGGATATCGCTTCTTCATCACTAATATCACTCGAGTCTTCCAAATCGTTCTCCGGATCAAGAGACTAAGCACCGGTTACTATCTAGAGGGCAAAATAGGAACTGGAAGAGTTTTTGTAGGGTCTTGTCACACACCTCTTCGACCACTCTATTCCATAGAGTGTTTTCGACAAACTTGAAAGATGTCTGTCCTTGAACATTCGGCGTTTGGATAGCGTATGGAGACGGTCCGGACTCGAGAGATGAAGGCGTTCTCAGTTGACTGACATGCTGCTGTTGTTGATCAGGCACAGTGTGTGTCATAGGCTGTGATCCATTGTTTGCCCAATCTGGAAGCCTTCTGACGTCGATCCCTTGCTCTTGAAGAAGGGCTTCATACTGTCGCAGTCGATCAGTCAGTACATTAACCTTGACGCGCTTCTTCTTCTTCTTCTTCGGCGGTTGCACTGGATTGAAGATGCAGTCAACGCTATGCTTGATACAAGCACTACATGGTTTCTGTCGGTCGCATTTGACTACAGAAGTGTACACAAGTCAGCGCGTATGCCATACACGGCATGCACGACAACATGACTTGCCTTTTCGTTCAGCACATCGTATGCATGAGAAGGTTGGTCTTTTGTGTGTGCCTGAGGAAGGAATTGTGGTTGCCATTGTTGGATTTGGCTTCTTAAAGTAGCATGGGCGGCAGGAGTTGGCACTTGAGTCTGTCGCAACCAACTGAATCAAAGTACGGGCAACAGGAACAAGATTGCTGGAGTTTGCGTAGGGGCTATGTTAGAAGATGGTAGATACGCGGCACCTCACCGGGAATAGTGCCCTGGCCCCGCAAAATCCCACGCTCAACGCCCGAACCGTCGCCCGAATGCACGAAACCCGAAGCACGCCAACCCCGAATCCTCATCAGCTTTCTTCTTGTGTGCCCGAGACCACGCATCCGGTCACAAGAGAAAACAAAATGTCGTATATAAAACATCATTCGGTCTGGTCATCATGGCAGAACATTACTCACCAAACCATCGTTCACATCTACCACACCTCTCCTCGGCCAGACAACCACCCCAACCATGCACATCCTGATTGTAGGCTCAGGCATTGCCGGACCGACACTGGCTTACTGGATCTCCCATAATCTCGAAAACTCCATCACTGTCCTTGAGAAGTCTCCCTCGCTTTTGCTGTATGGGCAAAATGTCGACATTTCAGGCAGCGCGGTAACATGCATAAAAAAGATGGGTCTGATGCCGCAAGTCAAGCATTGCAACACCAAAGAGCTTGGCACTCGGTTTATCGACTCATACGGAAAGCCATTTGCACCTTTCCCAATCAAAGAAGGAAGCTCAGCGAGTCTAACATCGGAGTACGAAATCCTGCGAGGCGATCTAGCAAAGATCTTGTACAACGCAACACAGTCCCATTCCAATGTGACCTATCTCTTCAATACCACAATCACGGAAGTCCTCCAGAATGATTCTTTGAGCGTAAAAGTACTCCTCAGCGACAACACAGTGCGCACGTACGATCTTCTAGTGGCAGCAGATGGCCAATGGTCTAAGACACGCAGTCTGATCTTCCCGTCCCAACAAGTTACAATTAGCCATCAGGGCATGTACTCTGTGTATTTTACCGTACCACGACGCGCAACCGATACGGCATGGTGGAACATTTTCGTCGCACAGGGCTCACGTACTATTTCCACACGTCCTGACCCTCATGGTACACTTCGTGCGTTGTTCACATTCATGCCAACTACCTCCGCCCAAGAAGCCCAGTGGGCCGAAGCAAGTAGGATGGGAAGAAAGCTACAACAAGAACTTCTTCGCAAAGAGTTTGCAGACGCGGGTTGGATTTGCGACAGACTTCTTGGCGACGTGGCCGCAGCACCAGACTTCTACTTCCATGCCATCAACCAAGTCAAGATGCAACGGTGGAGTCGCAATCGTGTGATCTGTTTGGGAGATGCGGCATTTTGTCCCAGTCCGTTGACAGGCATGGGGACGTCGCTCGCAGTTCTAGGAGCGTATATTCTGGCGGGAGAATTGAGCTGCATGACTACTTTCTCTTCTTCTGTTTCGACTTCACTTTCAATGGATGCTCTTGCGACTGCGCTTGCGAGTTACGAAGCGAAGTTTCGACCGTATGTTGAGCAGAGTCAAGAAATTCCACCTTTTGTACCGGGGTTCATGCATCCAGATTCGGCGTGGAAGAGAACGATATTGCATGGATTCTTGACAATGGTGTCCAGGGTAGTAAGGTGGGAATGGGTCGGCCGATGGTTGGGGGACGCAGAGAGTAGGGATGATGGGTTCAAGTTACCAGAGTATGTGGCGTTTGAAAGCAAAGACAACAAGTAACACAATGCGGATGGAAAGGAGGAGATGGGATAACGTAGTTGTACTTCAGGTAAACAAACATGGGTATCTTGATTATTACAACCTATACCGTAAAACTAGTCAATCGAATGGGAAAAGAGACAGAGGATAAGTCAATAGCACTCCATGACAGAGACCAACAACGCCACGCTATGTACGGTGCGATGCAAAACCTTCGTATCTCATATACCAGCCACTCTGGGTGGCTCATCGCCCAGGTTCAATACCTCAGTCTTCTGCCTCACAGCGGCCCAGTCGGTGGGATCAATACCAACCCTGGTTTCCTCGGACCCATCTGCGGAAGGACGTTCTGGAGCATCCAATGCGTCCTTCGAATCTGCAGATACCAGATCTTTAGCCTCATTAACTGGGCTAACAAGCTCAGGGTCTGACTTGTTCTTTACACCGTCATTCAGACGGGTCGCGCTAAGCGGATTCGAATCATCCTCCTGTAGCGCAGCATCACCAGCCACTTGGCGTTTAGGTGGAAGCTGGAGTTCCTTTCTTTCGACATGCTCACCATGCTCCAGCGAAGTAGTAGGAGCAGTACTCATCCTATGCATACCTCCACCTCTCGCGTTTCCGTCTACGCTTCTCCGTGCATTTCCAGGATCCACGACCTTGGCCTGGTCCTCTGGACAGACTCTGCCTGGCTTGTCGTTGGGTGTATGAGTGTTTGGTCTTCCTTTGGAGTACGACCGCCTCCCGTCTTTCTTTGCAACTTCTGTGCTCTTGCGCCCGACTCTTTGACCTTCTTTATGGTCACCTCGGCCTGTGAGTGACCCAATGATGCCGTTCTTGTGCTGCTTCTTCTCTTCAGCAATCGTCTTCTGTAGAGCCTTCCAACGGATGGTGACATTCTCCTCTATAGATTCCTTCTTCTCAGAGGTTCGCTTGGCTCCTTGTTGAGCTTCTTGAATGGCCGAAACCTGAGATTTCGATTCCAGCATCGACAGCTCTTTTTGTCCTTCAGCAATGCGGGCACGGCGTAGATAATTAGTAGGTTGGTATCGTTTCATGTATTCTGCGTCAAGCCCCTTCATCGTGTATGCCAATGGGCCAAGAAGGGCTGCGATATCCTTGAGTACGAAGCCGCCAATACCAAAGCCCACGCCTCGCACCGCGCCCATGACACCGTTCTTCTTCGCGCCATTGTAGGGCTGGGTGACAAGACCCGAAACGCCATCCATGACGCCATAAACAAGCTCGTCGCGACCAGCACGAGTGCCAGAGTGGAAACCCGTCACTCGAGGTGGACGGCGCACCGTTTCATCTCCGTACAGACGCGGAGCGTTGTGGAAGCCCTGTGTGATAGCAAGTGTCAAGTCCATAGGAAATCTGGCAATAGCGTGTCCGGTCTTCCTGAAGCCAAATGCAGCTTCGCGGCTAAGCTCTTCAGCCAATTCTTCGTCTGGTTCCGTGATTTTGGAAAGCGTTGATTCGTTGCGATTTGCTTGTGGCCGACCTGCATCTTGGCTGTCCTGCTTCTGTTCCGTGCTTTGAGCTCCATCTGGCGTGTTTGCATTTGCCTTTACTAATGCGGCCTTTTTCTGCTCGTGACGCTGTTGATGTCTGCGCTTCTTCTCCCTTAGCTTCTCCCGTTTCCTAATACTCTTCCCCATCTCTACAGGCATACCGCCTACACCTGCTGCAGCATCAGAAAACGATGTCATCAAGCTGCCCCAGACGCCCGTGATAGGCTCTCCCGGTCCGCCAAAGTCATTCCATTCGTAGTGTCGAACAAGTCGCAGGTCGCTCCATTTGAGCTTCCTCTTTTCGACAAGTATTTCAGCTGCGAGCGCGGAAAGCTTGATGTCCGTGTTCTTGATCTTCCACACTGCAGCACGGTTATCGAGGAAGTCGCAACGCATGCTGCCCTCTCCATGTAGAGGCAGTGATCTGTGAAAGGAGCGTACAGCATTAAGCGCACCATCACCTTCCTTCTCGATGCTTTCGGCGATCTTCTTCACATTCTCTTTAGCTTCATCAGTGAGACATTGCTTGATGCCCTCTGCTAGCCGTTCAGCGCTAAGCTTTTTGTATGGTATACAATCGTGAGCTCCGGCCTTTGCCTTGCTGACCATCGCACCCCAGAACGGTTGGTCACCAAAGAAGGGCACAATCATTGTCGGTATAGCGCACTTGAGACCGATAGCGGTTGTTCCAGCACCTCCGTGATGCACCACAGCAGCGCACTTCGGGAAAAGCCAATCGTGGGGTGTGTTCTCCAGCATGAAGACATTCTCCGGACAATCGGCATTGGAGCCAAACCCACCCCAGCCCTTTGAAACAAGAGCACGGCAGCCGACAGATTTCACAGCGTCAAAGATGAGCTTTGTGAATTGATCTGGATCGTCTACGACGATGGAGCCGAATCCGATATAGACTGGAGGAGGTCCGTCGTCCAAAAACTTCTTTAGCTCATCTGGTGGCGTGAATGACGAAGCTAGATCAAGGAAAACAAAACCGGAGATGTCAATTTCTGGACCCCAGTCCTTGGGCTTTGGGATGAGACCCGGTGACCACATATATGTGTAGGGTACTTTGAGCCGATAGAGTTGACCTGGCGCCCATATCCTGCTGACTTCCTCGAGATGCAAGACTTGGGTACGAAACCGGTTGATGAGATCACCAAGCCCTTGCCACATCATCATCTCGACGAGTGGATATGACATGAAATTGCTGTAGGTCGCTTCGACATTACTGGCCTTGATGTTTGCAAGTGGATGAGGGAACTGGCTCGTGGGTGTGTAAGGGAAGCTTTGGTAATTTAGTACTGGATTGAGACTTCAAGTGACAACAACTTACGTGAACATCATGTGTAGCGGTATACCCAACTTCTCGGCAATGTGAGTTGGAGCGAAACTTGGCGGATTTGAAATGATAGCATCCGCGACGAAGGGTGCCTTGTCGCCCACTGTTGCATGTTAGCTAGAATACGGCGCAAGCTGATCTGAACGACTTACTCATCTTGGCGTTCGTTTTATCCGTCTCATCGTCGGTCGCATTGATGCAAGCACGCCACATGCCTTGGAACATCTCGTACATTTGGCTTCTCCGTCGGCCAATCTCACCCTCCTTGATTGTTTCAATATTCGGAATCAGACCAGGGTTTTTGACCATGAAGGCCATCAGCTCGGCTGGGTTACCACCGACGGAGAAGAATTCCAAGCCCGAATCCTTCTCCACGAAGTCTTTGAACGCTGGGTGTGTAGCCAGACGAACGCGGTGCCCATAATCTTCCTTTAGGATCTTGCCTATGCGAATGAAAGGCTGAATGTCACCACGCGACCCGATGATAATGATAACGATATTTAGCTTGATCCTTCTTGCAGGGTCATGTTCCATTTCGTCATCTTCTGGTTTGATCTTGGTGGCTCCGACCTCGTCGTAACTCGCAGGTCCCTGGTCCTCATCGTTGCCATGCTTCTTGAAAGCTGTGCCTAGAGCTTTTGCAATGTAGCCACTACCGAGATTCTCCTCCAATATGCTAAGCTTGAGACGTCCATCTGCTTTTGAAACCCTGCCTTTTGTGTTGAAGTGTTCGTTGGAGATCTTCAAGCGGGAAAAGGGCCCGGACCGGCTTCCGCGTGGCTTGCGTGTCGCTTGCTTGGTGAGGTCGTCAGCGTGACCGAGGCTCTTGCGAGGATATTCTTTCTCATCGTCTGAAGAGTCGGAGGAGTCGGAGTCGGGGTCGAAAGTAATCGTCGCTGCTCTCTCGGGCGCTGCTGGTCTTGCCTCGCGTGGTTGTTGCATTCTTCCCAGTAACGAGTGTCTCACAGAAGGTTTCGGTCGCTCAGTCGCCCATCTCTGCTGGGCGGGACGCGATGTCGACGTGAATACACTGGATGTCGACTCGGCGGCATGCTGTGATGCTCGGGTCGGTCGGTCTGGCGACGATGCGCCGTCTTTCTGAGCCATGTCTGCGGTCGATGTGTCTTGGGTGGGCGCGGGCGCGGTGGGCTCTTGGCCAGGAATATTCGGAAAGGTCGGCTCTTCGATGACCATACCAACGGGCGAGACGACGCCCTCGTCTTTGAGACTAAGAGTAGGGTTCGCCATAGCTGCTATGCGAAGAAGTTTGGCGTCCTGTGGGTCAGCCGATCTGGATCTTAGTGATGGGTCCGCGTTGGCGGGAGTGACGGAGCGATGATGGTGACAACACAGAGAGAGAGCGAAACCTAAGCCTGAAGGAACTCGCGCGCCCCTGCTTCGCCTGCATGCGCCAACAAAGCTCTTGGTAGATTTGTCTGGATGTGGACAACGGTCGCGCGTAAATGTGAAAGGACACACGTGCGAATCGCGTCGAATTGTCGTAGCGGGCGATCAGGGCCAACCGGTGGACAGCAGGAACAGACGGCATGACATCACATGTAGACTACGGGTCTTGCGGAAGGCCCCAATTCGGGATTTAACTTGGTCGGGTTAATCCAATGACCTTGAATTTGTGCCTGGGCGTTCCTTGGGCGACTCTTTTGCCGAGGTTGAGCGACAGGGATTAGAATCCCATATTCTGAAACATGGCATTGTCCAACGCGGGTGCTTGTCGCAAGCCACTGGGTACACCAGAGTTGTGAGAAGGTGGTGTATAGTACAAGCCTCACCATCTACTCACTGTGGGATGTGTCGGTGCATTCCAGCTGCGATGCATACGTCCGATGCTGCATAGGCATCGTGACCCTACGATGCAAGCCTAAGTGTGTAGCGTTCCGATTCATCCGCCTCGCCATCCAAACTCATACAAATGCCCCCAAATGCGTTATAGTCGGCTTCTAGAAACAGCCGGTTTTCGATCTGCAAGCACTTTTGGAGGGGTTTTTGGTCCGATGCAGCTAGCTGAGAACGCTTTTGACCTCCATCATCCATTGGTTGGCCACTACTGCACAATAGTTCTAGCGCCAGAAGGTGTTTGTCGCCGGCAAAGCCAACGCATCATGGTGTCTGATGACGATAGTGTTTGATTATGCTCCTGGACATAGTCGTAGCTTCACGACGAGTTATCACCGCCCGAGGCCCAGACTGTACAGCGATGCTTTGACAATGTCCTGCGCCCATCCAACCCAGCCTCTCCCAGCCTGGACCATGTTCAAAATCTTGACAAAGGTACGGTTCCATTGATCCTGATCTTCCCAATCATCGGCATAAGGCTCGAAAACTGCCGTCTCAATACTGTCAGGAGCGCCAGGAGTGACGAGCTCCCACTCGCCATTATCTTTTTGACGGACGTGCATCTTGGGTCCTACAACAAGGGCCCTGCCGAGGATGCGCGAATCGGCAACGAAGCGTGTTCCTGCATCGACTACATCTTCGACCTTGCCCAATCCGCCTCCTGCGAGTATGAATCGCGCACCAGCTGTCACAATGGGCGTGTCGATGAAATACGGACAGAGAAGGTTCACACGTATGCCTTGAAGGCCGCTGGTAACCCTCAGGCTTCTGAAGAGACCGAGGACTGCATGCTTTGCAGCACAGTACTGCGGCTGTATCGCAATGGGCGCAAGAGAGGCGATGGAGCCTAACAGTAGTATATGGCGGTCGCGAGGGGATGTGGTGGAAGGCGTCGAGTTCAGACTGCAGGGCGAGGAACCCGGGTTCTTAGGTAGCCAGAAACAGGCAAGGTGAGTAGTGTAGAGCACACCGGTGAGGTTTACATCCATGATTTTGAAGGCGGGCGGGGGTGGCTCGGCTGCATCAAGGTTGACACCTTCCTGTAGGACGTCGCGGCCTGCTATGCCAGCATTTGCGACGACGCAGTCAAGACCTCCATGTGGGCTCTTCTTGACTGCTTCCTTGAAGAGGTTGACCTGCGATTGCCAGTCTGTCACGTCGCAGTGTACGAAGTGGGCAGAGCCGCCATTCTTACTGTCCTTGTTGATGTCACGACACAGGGCGTCTCCCTTGTGCACATTGATGTCTCCGACAATGACGGTTGCGCCGGCAGCCACCCATTGTCGCACGAAGCCTGCGCCGAAGCCACTCGCTCCTCCGGTTATCAGTATGACCTTGGCCTTGACCCAGGCTGCGTCGTAGGGGACGGTTACGTCGATGGGCAGCGATTGGACAATGTTTGGTTTCTGTGGCTTGTAGTCGTCCATGGCTGTGTCTTGTGCTGTGCAAAGCTATCTAGAACGAGGGGCATGGAAGCGGGAGCTGAGGGGTGCCTCTTATATCGTGGGGGACGTGTACGGCCATGTTGGTGCTTCAGCTCGCAAGGTGCACTAAAAACGAGCAGCCTCGGCACGCTGGTGCTGGGTCGCGCATCCATAGGGTGCCTGAGATGCCCAGAGGGGTTACATGAGCCAGTGGGGCTGTTCCTGGATCCCTGCGTAAATTTCCAGTCGCATGCACCCCGCCTTGCCTGCGAACAAGTCACGGCTGCTTGCGAACAAATCACAGCTGCTTGCCTGTCCTCGAGCTGCTCTCATCCGACTACTCGATTCATGGCATCATGACGGCCAAGCCCCCCGCCCTCGATGTCTCGGCCACGCACCTCGTCGCGACGCTGTTCTACAAGGCCGACACCCCAAACTTCTTCCAGCATGCAGACTTGTCCCCACGCAGTCCCGGCGACCCCATCCCATCCGCCTCGCTCGAGTCGCTAAAAGACGGCGTCGTGCCTACCCAGGACCTTGCAGACTACCCGCTCGAGCCGCCGACTCCTGGGCCCAACGCCCTCGACAACCTCTACGGAAGCTACATCAGCCAAAGCTGCCTCACAGACTTCTTCGCCACCCTCACCAGCGTCATCGCCGGCCTGGAACAGAACACGATAACGAGCAGGAGGCTCGAGGCGAGCAAGCTCTGCAGGGTAGTCGAAGTCACCTTCCCACTGCCCAGCGCTTCGCCCATCGCGCTCGAGACACTGCGGAGGCATGAGGCTGTATCGCGCTTCGAGCGCAAATGGAACACCGAGTGCGTCTTCCAGCCAGACACAGTCCACCGCCGATACAAGAGGCTGGCTGTCTTTGACATGGACAGCACCCTGATACAGCAGGAGGTCATCGACGAAATCGCCTCGCTGATCGGCGTCGAGAAGGAGGTATCCGCCATCACCGCTGCCGCCATGAACGGCGAGTTGGACTTTGAGGCTAGCCTGCGCGCACGATGCAAGCTGTTGAAGGGCGTGCCAAGCAGTGTCTTCGAGACGCTCAAGCCGCGCATCACTCTGAATGAGGGCGTCAAGGACCTCATCACCGCTTTGAAGCGACTAGGCTTCAAGACTGCCGTTCTCAGTGGAGGCTTCACTCCGCTGACGGGCTGGATGGGCCAGCAACTCGGCCTCGACTACGCCTTCGCCAATCATCTCGTTGTTTCCGACGACGGAGCCACGCTTACCGGCGAACTGACTGGCGAAATTGTACACGCCCAGAAGAAACGCCAACACGTCCTGGAAATTGCTGAGAAAGAAAACATACTTCTGGACCAAGTTGTATGCGTCGGCGACGGCGCCAACGACCTTCCCATGATGGGTGTGGCTGGTTTGGGTGTTGCCTTCCACGCAAAGCCAAAGGTGCAGATGCAGGCTCCTGCTCGCCTAAACTCCAAGAGCATGTTGGACATCCTGTACCTCTTTGGTATCTCCAAGGAGGAGCAAGAAGCACTATTGCAATAGCGTAGCTAATCAAGACTACAAGAGGTAACAAGCATACACCCACTCGAAACGGCCACGACGCCACAATATGCAACCTAGCAATCTGACTAGATATCGCACGGGTCGTAGATAGCGAGTAACAAGGCCATTACTTTGAAAAGGATCCATGTACACGACTGGCCCAACGACTGCATACCCTTATTCCTTCAGCTCGTCCCTAACAAACTTGCTCTTCCCCGCAACCTTGACTGCCAATAACCAGATACTGATATCACTCATGATGTCCGTCGTCCCGACATCCGCTCCGATAGCCTTCGAAAACCAATTGCGCATCTCCACCGCCACCAAAGAGTCTACACCGTACCGATAAATCGCCTTTTGGGAGTCAATGTCATCTCTGCTAACGACGAGAAGACTGGATAGCTGAGTTTGTATAGCTTCAACAACGATATCTGTAGCTTGAGCCAGCGAAGTAGCTTCGGAAAGCTTGTACGAAGGGCGGTCCTTGGCTTCGGCGGATGCCGTGTCCGAGGAGAAGCGTGAGGGAAGTGTGTCCAAGTAGTGGTAGATTGGCCGCGTACTACCTAGAGGTGCAACGATGCCCATTGCTCGAAGATCAGCCGGCAGAGTCAAGGGTGTGATGATCTGGGAACCGACTGTGCTAGTGTCAACACGCTCCGGGTCGCAGCAGAACCGGAGAAGGTTGTAGATATCATCCATGGGTACTTCCTCCAGCATGCCACGTACGCGGAGTAGAGCTTGTACTTGGTCGTTCTGGGCAACGTAGCCGACGCCTGTGACCATACTGAGTGCGAGAGTGTGGGCGCGCTGGCCGTGGCGCATTCGATGTGCTGCTAGTGCGTCTTGATATGTGTTTCCGACGGTGTAGTTTGATTGACCAAACGAACCCATTATGCCAGTTGAGGATGACAGCATGATGAAGAAATCGAGGCCCGGCGGTAAGAGCTGGTGTAGGTTCCAGGAGCCGTCTACCTTGGGCGCGAGCGACTCGTGCCACTTTTCCATTGTCATGTTCGCAAAGGACGAATCTCGCATTACCATTGCTGCTTGAATACATCCCCTGACTGCCGGAAGATGAGCAAAGGACATGAGCATATCCCTAAGCTGATCACGATTGGCGATGTCGCACACCGGAGCATATACCGCTGCGCCTTGAGCTTTCAGTTCCTGCACCAAGTGATCACGCTCTGATCCAGTGCCATCGACTGGTGACCTTGATGGTAAGATGAGATGTCTGGCTCCATGTTGTATCATCCACCTAGCAATGCTCTGGCCTATACCTCCAAACGCACCAGCGATGATGTAGCTGGCGTCTGGGCGGAAAAGGGGCTTTGCGGAATCCTGAGCGAGTTCCATCACTACAATCTCGTCACTGTCCATCTCGATTACTACCTTTTCCACCATGTCTACGTCCTTAATCCGCCGGAAAGCGGGCTCGATCTCGCTCTGCTTGAAAACATTTGGAGGTGAAGCAATGGTGACCTTGTCGTCTTCTATGAGCATCAACACATGCTTGAAGATGTCAGCAAATACATGGCTCTTGGCCAACTCTTGAAAGCTGACGCTGACAAAAGCAATGTTTTTCGTGGTAGATGGAAGCACAATGTCCTTTGAGCTATTGGCGGTCGAGTGGAAAATGTCCTTCTCTCCAACTCCAACAAAGCGTCCGAAGGAGGCGATGCACGGCCAAGAATCACTTAAACGATCTTCAGAGCCCACTACGACCGCGACGCCTTGACCATTGGTCAAGCGGAGGATACCATGTTGAAAATCGAGGCTGTCGGTCGAGAATATGTTCGACTTCGGAACATGTAGAGTGTTTTCCAGGAAGAAAGCTCCATCAGCCGTGCTTACTGTCGCAAAGATCTTTGTGTACCCATGAAAAGCGGCAATCTTGATAATCGCTTGACCCAACACACTAGCGGCATCGTGAACCAAGATCGAGTCGCCGCTCTTCATGCTATAGCACTGTTTCAAGCTATAATAGGCAGTGCAAAAAGCCACAGGGTAGGCTGCGGCCTCGCAGAAGCTCATCTTGTTTGGAACTTTCTGAAGCTGTGAGACTTTACAGCGAGCAAGTTGAGCGACGCCATCTCGTGTCACGCCGAAGACGCGATCGCCAATTTGAAAACCTGCATCATGCGACGATCCGGTGCTTACCACAACTCCAGCAACCTCACTTCCAAAGGTTTCATCGTGAACTTGGCCAAGGGCTACCAAGATGTCCCGCATGTTAAGACCCACTGCCTTTACTTGAACGACTACGTCATCTGACGCAAGCTCGTTGATTCCGATAGAAGTTTGCTCATAGTGCAGTGTGTTCAAGACACCTGCGGCACCAATGGTCAGCTTTGGGCTGTCAAGTTCACTCCAAGGTTTGGTGACATAAACGACAGTGTCTTCAGTAGGCAGTGCTTGGACAGTGAGCTCCGCGTCGTCAACCACACGCGGGGTGCACAGACGACCATCGATCTCGCAGTACTCGTCTTCTGGGTCAGTTTGCGGTTCTAGTAGCGTAGTGGCAACCTTAACAATGTTGGCAGCAACTGTGTCAAGCCCAGTCTCAGGATCAAGGCTAATGCTCGAGAGCCGGTAGTCTTCAGACTCGGTCGCCAGCGTACGTACCAGTCCCGAAACGAGGCCTTCCGTAGGGCTTTGGTCAATCGCTTGGTGTTGGAAAGTGACCCACAGGAGGGTACTAGCTTTCGAGAGCAGACTTTTGATCTTCGCGAGCTCGTCCTTTTGCATGCGCTGAAGTAGATTTCCGTCTAAACCAGGAAGAAATATGCAAGAAGCCTTGTCAAGCTCATGCTGGTCGATCGAGCTCCATGTGACTAGAGCTACGCCGACGTCGCCTTGCGCTGACATTGTTCGCCGAAGAGTATGCATCAAGTCTAACTGCAATGGCTCTAACTCATCATAGATAATGTGAATGCAAGACTTGGACGTCGCTAAACGAGGTGACAGAGTCGTCAGATGATGGAATTCGGCCGGTTGCCAGTTTATTCGGTACAAGCTTCGACGCCCTTCTTTGTTGCCCGCCGATGGGCTATTGCGACCGATGGTGGAAGTCTCTAGATCACCATAGAAGCAGATTTCCTGCGTATTGGCAAACGCTGCGGTGACGGAGAAGAGCTTGTTGCGGAATCCACGTCCAGAAACCTTCGCATGCACGGCCACATCTTGCGCATCTGATGGATCGCGCATCAGCTTGACAGAGAACCAGGCGTTACTAAAGCCCGTCGGCACGGTGGTAGCTGACGAGTCCTTTGCGTAGATGGAGTAAGCTGGAAACGTCATCTGAAGAATAGCGTCCAACGCAGCTGGATGAATAAGGTGCGGATCGCTGTAGCTAAACTTCGCATGCGTCTGCCAATCTCGAAGGCCAATCGTACCTGTAGCCTGGTTGTGCTGATCCCATTTGACGTTGCGCATGCCCTTGAACGTTGGACCGTACGTAAGACCAGCTCGACTAAAAGCATCGTAGATGTCAGCACTGTCGATAACAATGCGACATTTCTCTGAAGCTGCGAGGTATGCCTGTTTCTTCTCTTTCGTTGCCGTCGCGCATTCGGCAAGACCTCCAGAACTGTCATGGTGGTTGCCGTATTCAATTGCAACAAATCCTGTACAGCACAGGTGCCATCCGCCATCCTCATGTAAGAAGAGGGAAAATTGATTCCATAAGCTACCCGGCTGCACATCACGTGATTCGACCACTGCGGGCCGTAATGTGAGCTGAATTTCTGTGCCACGAGCGTCTGCTGAAAGTGTCATGGCTTTGGTGAATGTGACGTCTTTGAGCTTATACCCTGATACAGCTGCGGTTTGATGACCATAGTACTGGCGCGTGGCTTCGATAGCCATCGAAAGCATTCCCGCAGCAGGCATGAGGCAAAGACCGTTGATCTGATGATCTTGAAGGTATGGGGATTGGTCTAGAAGAATACGATTTGTCCAACGTGCTTCGTGCTCGTTCCAGTCGGGTGTGCGCGAGCCAAGAAGCTCATGATGCACAAATTGTGTTTGACGGTACTGAATGCTCGTTCGGCCTTCGAGCCAATATCTTTTCTTGTCCTCAAATTGATAACACGGGAGTGAGGGTAGGAATTTGGGACTGGTTTCGCTGTCCTTATTAACTTTAGCTATATCGATAGTTGCGCCGATGGTGTGGAGCTTCCCAGCACATTCCAGAGCTGTAATGTTGGCGGCGTGGTCACGCCGTAACACAGAGCTGTAGTCGATCGCAACATCTCTTCCGCTTTGTTTGAGTATATCACGTAGCGGTGAACGTAGAACGGAATGAGGGCCTATCTCGAGAAAGAAATAAGTCGAGGCATCTTGTCGTGCGCATATATCCTGCAACGCAGCTGAGAACTGTACTGATCCAGTAAGATTTCGTTGCCAATATTCAGAAGTATGCAGCTCGTTGAGTTGCTGAATATTCTTCCCAGTGACGGTAGAGACAAAGGACGGTTGAGCCTCTACTTGTTCACCAGGCTCGATCGTCCGAAGCAGCTTCTCATAAACATCAGCAACTGGCTTCATGTGATGTGAATGATAAGCAACGTCGATCTTGAGAGTATGAACTTCGACATTTGCTTGTTTGAGAGCGATAGCCATTTGGTGAATCATGCTATGTGTACCTGAAAGTGTGAAGCTACTCTGGCTGTTGTAGCAGGCGATAACGACGGGATTGGTTGGATATTCTGCATTCTGCTTGTTCATGATATGTTTCCAAGTTTCAAAGGGGGCCTGGACAGCTATCATGGCGCCCTGAGAAGGATTGATAGTCTGAGTGATGGCGACTGCTAGACCTCGAAAGTAAGCAATCATCCAGGCAGACTCTTGTGAGATTGCACGACTAGCATAAGCGGCAGCGATCTCACCCGAAGAGTGACCCACAGATATCGAAGCGCGAACTTTCCAGGAGATCAACAAGTCATGGATGGCCACCTGTAGAGCGGTGCAGATAGGCTGACTAAGCTCCGGTTGATGGA